TGTTGGGCCTGGGGGATGTTTCTCCATCACAGAGATTTTCTCACTTTGTTATTTTGTGACCCTGTTCCTTGTTTCCCACACTGTGGCACAAGGTAAAAATCCCATCCTGCAGGTCAGAGGTCCAAGAGAGGCCACTACACCTCATTAAATGGCTGCAGCTTGTGAATGTGAGGGGTGAGAGATTCCCTGCCCTGGATTCCTTGCCCTAAGACTGATGTTCATCAGGCAACAGTCAGGCCAGCCTGATGGGAAGGGCCACATCCCCTGTCTGGGGAACCTTGTTTCCAATCCCAGGCCACTAGAGTTGAGGACCCTCAATACATTGGGGGAGGGACAGAGGTGGGATGGAGGTGGAGCAGTGCTCCATCATGAGAGTCTTGGGTCGATCCCAAAGAACAAGAATCAAATTTAAACTTCTGTCTGAAGCTGACCACCCCAAGGAATTTGGATTTGGGGGTGAGACAAGGCCCCAAGAACAGGCAACTCTCAGCATGGGAGGGGAGGAGCACAGACACTGTCATCCACCTCTGGCAGGAAACAAAACCTTCTGGTTTTAGACTCTGCAGCGGTTTTGGGTAAGGGATTTCTTGTCAGCTTTGTGCTTTAATTGAGCCTAAGGGGAGGGGGCACCCAGAAGGGACTCTGAAGTGGAGGGTGACAGTCCTGCCTTTCTGCCTCCTCAACTCACTCTTGGGAAAAAGACACTGGGCAGCAAATTATCTTAAAGTATAAAAAAAAAAATCCAGAAGACTAGGCAAGGTGAAAAACTTTTACCATAATAATCTGGCCTGATCTTTCAAACAGCCATGACATATTTGTTCTCTGGTATAGGTGAGGAAACTGACTTTCCAGGAAGACACCTGGAGGCTGGCTGGGCAACCCCCTTCACCCCGCCCCAGGCGGCTCCACTCCCAGCTCATTTGCTTGTAAATCACTCAGGCCCGCGGGGCCACCTGTCTTCCCCGAGCCTTCCTGCTCACCCACTGATGAAGGCCTCTGTGTGCATGCTGCCAGGCTGGGGATGGCGGAGTTTGTGCCCACCTCGTCCAGGATCGCAATTGCCTGTTCTCAGGGAGCAAACTCTTGTCAGCCGACCACCAGGCAGACCGGCTCTGGTAGCTGCCAGGAGTCTGGCAGCCCGTGTGAGGGGAGGGCAGCACCCAGAGCGCTTGGAGACTTGGCTGGAAACCGCAGGTGCTGCACCTCCGGGTCGTGGTGCCTTTGCAAGGTGGCCCGGCGCACCCTTCCCTTCTCTAGCCTCGGGCCCCCTCCCAGAACACTCTCTCTTGCAGGATGTTGACCACCAGCGGCCCTACACCCCCGGCACACCTGCCAGCTCATCTGCCTGGCCTTGAATGTGCACCTGTAGGGACAGCTGGATCCCTTAGTCCACCAGGCTTAAAAGCAGGGTGGGGCGGCGGTGGCGGGTCTGTGGCAGTGCGGGCTCCAAGGAGGCCAAGGCCAGGCTGAGGACTAGGGCGGGGCCCGGGAGTCTTCATGCGACCCCTAGTCTGCCTCCTGCACCGCCCTGAGAAGGTGGCGGCTCCTGAGTATGCGGGAGGAGGCGGCGGCTCCTGACCTGGGCGCTCAGTGCGGAAGTGGCCGCGGCCCGGCTTCTGCGCCCCGAATTCTCTGACTTCGAGCTGCCCTGCCTGCGCTACAGAGCTCCAGGCCGGCGTGGTGCTGTGGCGTCCTGCTCGCCGCTGTCCCTTCCTGACTGAGCAGCAAGGGCAAAGTTCCCAGAGCGGGAAGCCAGAGACCCGCCCCTGCCCCACTGCACCGACCGCTCTGAATCCCGGTGGCGGACACCCCGCCTCTCCGTGCGCCTCACCATTCTCCGATCTCTGACCTTGTGCTGCAGGTTCCCGGCTTGATGCCCGCCAGCCCAGTACCCACCCCGGCCTTGGCTGGGAAACCCGCAGTGCAGGCTGCCACCCAACAGGGCCCTGCGGTTGCAGAAACCCGGCCCCACCCCGCCCAGGCCACAATAGCTTCACTCTGGGACAGGACCCTTCTGGTGGGTGCTTGGGGGACCTGGGTGAGTGTATGTGGGAACAATTGATCAAAAGTGGCTTTTTATTTCCCTAAGAGTAAAGACTTCTTTGTAGTAATACTTTTTGCTCATTTACATAAAGCTGGTAGAGTCTAACTATTTAGATGTACCCATGATTTTGTCAGTAAATTTGAGTTCACTTTTATTAGTTTTGTTCAGTTTAGTCTTGTTTGTTTCTGCTTTTAGGAAGAATGTTAAATTCTACCTGAAATCAGTAAACTACCCTCAGAGAAATTTCAATGAGAAGGATGAAATCTTTTTCATGAGAAGCTGGTATCTATGGCTAAATATGTGCTCTCCTCTTAGAGTTCATAAGCCAGTTATTTTATTAAATCTTTGATTCAGAAAAAAAAAAGAAAGAAAAAAACTATTAACAATTCTCTACAGTCAGTACAAAGTTTTAAAAAATTCTTGTTGCAGTGACAATGTGTACCAATTTTTACAATTCTTCAATATTTAAATGTGTCATGTTGAGGGCATGTATGAAAAATATGTCCCGGCTATTATGGTAGTCTTATATGCTATTCTTTACCTTGGAAAAAAGCTAGCAGCCTGCAGAGCTGGCTACAATGCCTTTTGAAGATTGTATTTTAATAAAGTAGACCAATAATGCAAATAAATAAAGAACACCCAGGTTTTAAATTTTCTCCTCTGACTTTACAAATTTTAATGGAAAAGCTTTCAGAAATTAAAATTTGGGTTTTTTAATACTTTATTTTGTTGGAGATCTTAAAAAGCAATACATGTAATATAAACTGTGTATGATAAAATCAAACGCCTTGGCATTTGGCTGCCTCCTGTCACTCTCAGTACTAACCTACATTGTCCAGTATTCATCATTGCCATATACTATTTAAGATTTTGAGCAAGGTGAATAGGTTAATATTTTGTAGAGTAACATGTTATTCAGTACACAACAATGTTTAAAAATATAAAAAAACTTTTAGTTTCATTTATTAAAACAAATTACATTTACACATAGATTGAATAGAACATTTCAAAATTCACCATACTATCTCTTTTCTTATTTTTTATTTTTTTGAGATGGAGGCTTGCTCTGTCACAGGCTGGAGTGCAGTGGTGCAATCTCTGTTCACTGAAACCTCCACCTCCAGGTTCAAGTGATTCCCCTGCCACAGTAGCCTCCCGAGTAGATGGGACTACAGTTGCATGTCACCATGCCCGGGTAGAGATGGGTTTTCACCATGTTGGCCAGGATGGTCTCGATCTCCTGACCTTGTGATCCACCTGCCTCAACCTTCCAAAGTGCTTGAATTACAGGCGTGAGCCGATCACGCCCAGCATTTTGGTTTTTTTTTTCTGAGATGAAGTTTCATTCTGTCACCCAGGCTGGAGTGCAATGATTGCGATCTCAGCTCAGTGCAACCTCAGCCTCCCTGGTTCAAGTAATTCTTCTGCCTCAGCCTCCAGAGTAGCTGGGATTACAGGTGCCCGCCATCACGACCAACTAATTTTGTATTTTTAGTAGAGACAGGGTTTCTCCATGTTGGTCAGGCTGGTCTCGAACTCCTGACCACAGATGATCTGCCCATCTTGGTCTCCCAAACTGTTGGGATTACAGGGGTGAGCCTCCGCACCTGAATTGTATTCTCTTTTTTTTTTTTTTTTTTTGAGATGGAGTCTCACTCTTTTACCCAGGCTAGAGTGCAGTGGCACAATCTTGGCTCACTGTAATCTTGGTTTCAAGCTATTCTCCTGCCTCAACCTCCTGAGTAGCTGGGATTACAGGCATGTGCCACCACAGCTGGCTTTTGTATTTTTAGTAAAGACACGAATTCACCTTGTTGGCCAGGCTGGTCTGGAACTCCTGACCTCAGGTGATTCACCTAACTTGGCTTCCCAAAGTGCTGGGATTACAGGCATGAGCCACTGCATCTGGCCTGTATCATTTTTTAAAAGCAAACATTTGAGAAAACAAACAAAACAGGCTGCTACTAATATCGGTAACAGCAGTACAGATTTTTTTTTTTTTTAACAGGGATCTTTCTTTTCCACCAAGGCTGGTGTGCACTGGTGCAATCTTGGCTCCCCACAGCCTTGACTTTATGGACTCAAATGACCCTCCCACCTCAGCATCCTGACTAGCTTGGACTACACAGGTGCATGTCATCAATGCCACCATGTTTAGCTGATTTTTTTTGTTTATTGTAGACTTACTATTGCAAGAAGTAAACAAAGAGGAGAGAAACACAAAGGATGGCTCAACAGCTAACAGGTTTATTCTAAGCCTGGAAGGGACATCAGACCGAGTTAGGTCAGAGGCACACTCTCTTACAGACTGACTTTTTTTTTTTTTGAGACAGTCTTGCTCTGTCGCCAGGTGCCAGGCTGGAGTGCAGTGGCATGATCTTGACTCACTGCAACCTCCACCTCCTGGGTTCAAGCAATTCTCCTGCCTCAGCCTCCCAAGTAGCTGGGACTACAGGTGCATGCCTCCACACCCAGCTAATTTTTGTATTTTTAGTACAGATGGGGTTTCACCATGGTGGCCAGGATGGTCTCAATCTCTTGACCCCATGATCCACCCACCTCGGCCTTCCAAAGTGCTGGGATTACAGGTGTGAGCCACCATGCATGACCCATTAGGAGAAATTTTGACTGTCCTAGTTAGGCTTAGTCAAATGGGTAATGTCCAGCATACCCATTTCGGCCTTTCACTCGCACATTTCATAAACTTCTTGGGTGGTACAGAAAGTGTCATAACAAGGCCCAGCACACAGGTTAGATTGTGACTTTCATAGGCACACACAGCCAACAGTAAGAATTGTCACTTTGTCACATGGACAAAGCCCACTGTGACATATTCCTGGGCTCTGCACCCAAATAATGTGACTCTTCTCTCTGAGTCACCCCCTCAGAGGGCATTCTGACATATCTCAGTTCCCATTATCTAGTTAATGTTACTCTCCTTTGATGCCTTGTCCCTGTCCACATGGTGGATTGTCACATATCACTGGGTCCAGCGTCAAGGTAATGTGACTCTTCTTCATGGGGCCTGTCCACAGGGTGGATTGTTACATATACCTTGCCCAGCTCACAGGTATGATGATGAATTTTATACATAAACCCAGTCAATAAGAGAGATTTTTATGATTATAGACAGCCTTATGGGCATGGGTAAGGTTTTGGGTGTCCAACTTGTACCATGGTAACAGAGGATTGTTACATTTAATGCATATCATATAGAGCCCTTGGGTAGTACAGAGACTGTAATAACAGGGTTCACAGCACAGGTGAGATTGTGCCTCTTATAGGAACACTGTGCTGATAGTTAACATTGTCACCCTCAGCTGCGCATGGTGGCTCAAGCCTGAAATCCCAGAACTTTGGGAGGCCAAAGAGAGTGGATCACTTGAGTTCAGGAGTTCAAGACCAACCTGAACAATATGGTGAAACCCTGTCTCACTAAAAATACAAAACTTAGTTGGGAGTGGTGGTGGGCTTCTATAATCCTAGCTACTCAGGAAGTTGAGGCAGGAGAATTACTTAAACCTGGGAAGCAGAGGTTGCAGTGCGCCAAGATTGCGCCACTGCACTCCTGCCTGGGTGACAGAGCGAGTCTCCATCTCCAAAACAAAAACAGATTGTCACCATCACACATAGAAAAAGCCCACTAATGGGGTTCTGGCTCTCACATGAAGACAATCTAGTTTAAGTTGTCTGTCATATGTAGATCTAGCCACAGGTTGGATCCAGCTTACAGTCATGGTGTTTACTCTTATACCTGGTCCCAGACAACAGGAGAGCTGTTAACTCTTGCAGCTATGCTAAGAACAAGTAAGGTCCTGAGTTTTTTAGTGGTACTAAAGTCACAGAGGATTACAGCACTCACATATATTATATAATGTCCATGAATGGTAGAGAGAATGTCATAAAAGGACCCAACACAAAGTCTAGATTGTGTCTCTTATATGTACATCCAGCCAACAGTTAGAAAATTTACCCTAACACATGGACATATCCCACTGGTGAGATTCTGAATCTGACTCACAGATGAGGTCCACAGTTGAAATTGAGACTGTCATATGTGGATCCAGTCACCGATGGGATGGTGACTCATTTCTGGACTTAGTTCACAGGCACAGTGATGATTGTCATTCCTAAACCCAGCCAATAAAAAAACGGTGATGCTCATGCCTGGGCTTAGGGCAGTGGGTCAGATCGTGGGTCCATAATAGACAAAAGGTCTCAGAGAAGATTTACATGCTCAAGCATAACATGTGAAGTCCTCAGGTAGAACAGAAGGTGTCATAACGAAGCCCAGCACAGAGGTGAGATTGTCACCCTCATATGCAGACTCAGCAAATAAATGGTAAGGAGTGTCATCCCACCCTCCAAATGTACACAGCCTACTGTTGAGGTTCTGAGTGTCACACCCAAAGGTAGTTGAAAGTTGGAATTTTGACTCTTACGTACATATGATCCACAGGTAATATAGTGACTCTTGGACCAAGATTCAGCACCCCAGTGGTGCTATGACTACCTTACCAGGCCAATATTTGCAGATGAAGTTGGGACACTCACAGCAGGAGTTGACTCTCATATCTGGATTTGGGACATTTGCAAAATTGTAAGTCTTCATCTCTTCTCTCAGGGGTAATTGTGATTTATACTTTTGCCTAGCACCTGATTTGTTTTGCTCTGTCTAAGCCCAGCACATAGTTGAAATGTGTACATATATGTGGATCACACACTCATGTGATATGACTCTTCTGACTGGGAGCTGCTCTCAGGGGAACTTCGATGTATATATCAGACAGTCAGCTAGGTAATGTGATTCTTCTCTCCTGCCTGAGCCACGCACACAAAATGCACTGTGGCGTATTTCAGAACCTAGAATGTAACCAAAGTGATGTAACTTTTCTCTCTTGCCTGGACCCTGGCCTTCATGGGTATTGTGACATATTACTGAAACCAGTACCTATGTTATATGACTTTCCTCTGTTGTCTGTGACCTACTTACACCAGGATTGTGACATACCTCTGGGCTGAGGACCTAGAAGATGTGACTGCTTTTCCTGCATGGTTTCTGTCTGCAGAAGGATTTGTAACATACTGCTGGGCGGAACTGTTACTGTCTTTTGTGGATCCAGGCACAGATGAGATACTGACACATTTCAGGACCTAACTTACAGGCACCCTAATGACTCTGATACCTGTACCTAGCCAATAGAAGATATACTGACTCTCATACCTAGGCTAAGAGCAACTGATAACTGATTAGATGTTGGGTCCATGTCAGCATGAAAGTCTTGGAACAGATTGTGACTCTCACATATATTGTATAAAGCTTTCAGGTGGTACAGAGAGTGTCATCATGGGGCCCAAGACTCTAGATGATCAGGCTGTCCTATGAGTGCCCTGCCTATAGTGGTCATTGTGACATATCACTGGGTTTAGTACCCATCTGATGCGACTCTCCTGCTCTGGTGAATTGATAAATATGTGTCTCTTGTATACACACTCAGCAGACATTAAAAATTGTTACCTTCCAACATGGACAGAGATCATAGTTGCAGCTCTGAATCTCACACTAGAAGGCTGGAACTGCGATGTTCATACATGGATCCAGTATGCAGGTACATTGGTGAATCTCAGAACATATTTCTCTCTCTTTTTTTTTGAAATGGAGTTTTGCTCTTCTTGCCCAGACTAGAGTGCAATGGCATGATTTCGGCTCATGGCAACCTCTGCCTACCAGGTTCAAGTGATTCTCCTGCCTCTGTATCCTGAGTAGTTGGGATTACAGGCATGCACCACCATTCCCAGCTAATTGTTGTATTTTTAGTAGAGATGGAGTTTTACCATCTTGGCCAGGCTGGTCTTGAACTCCTGACTGTGTGATCCATCTGCCTCAGCCTTCTAAAGTGAGAAACCCTGCTTGTTCTCCTGGACTCAGCCTGAGCTTTCTTTATCTTTGTTGGATCTCTGGGAATCCCAGCACTTGGAGGCCATCCTGTCAACCTCCTTAAGGGATCAGACTGAAGCTGCCATACACACTGCCATGGATGGATTCATCTCACCTCAGGGACCCATCACCCTGGCCAAGGCAGGAAAGTGACATTACCTTGGTTCTTGGCTCAGTGATGGGTCACAATCACTTCAGTGGGCAGAGACCAGGTGAGAGAGCAGAATCACATCACCTGTGTGTTGTGCTAAGTGATATGCTACAATGCTTCCAGTAGAAAGAACCCAGGCAGGAGTGTCCCATTACCTGGGTTCAGTACCTAACTATATGTCACAATGCACTCTAAGTGCAGGACCAAGGCAGTAGAAGGAAGTCACATCACCTTTGTGATGGACCCAGAGATAAGTCACAATGCCCAATGTAGGCAGGGTCCAGGCAGGGGAGTCACATAACCTGGGTCAGGGCCAGGGAAAATTTAACATTACTTAGGCGATTGATTCATGTATATGTCACAACCTTATCTGTGGACTTGGTCTCAGAAAGGAAGTCAAACCTGAGTTCTGGGAAAAGGCATATGTTTGAATCACACTCAGAAATGTACACAAATGAGTTTCACAGTCCCACAGAAGTCCCAGCTTCAGGTAAGAGAGGCAACCCCACCTGTGAGTTGGGTTCAAATACAGGAGTCACAATTTCAACAATGGGCAAGAACTGTGCATAGGAGCCCCAATCCCACCTGCAGATTGTGTTCCACTGGGGGAGTCACAGCTTTACAGGTCTTCTGAGTCATGGTTCAGGAGTCACCAAGCCACCTGTAGACCAGATCCACATATAGGAGTGAAAATTCCAACTTGCAACTGTTTTTGTATTTGAGATTAAGTGCCTCGTCAGTAGGCTCTATTCATGTGTGAGTATTAAGATTATGTCAGCTGGGTCTACATGTGAAAGTCACAATCTTACCTGTTAGCTGAGCCCAATTATAAAATTCTCTGTATCAGTCTAGGGCTTTATACAATAGGCCTGAGTTTTGTAATTCTCTATGAACTTTATACAAGTAGGAGATGAATGACTTTGCCTTTGGCCCTAAGCCTGGCTGTGAGTCAAAATATCTCCTACTGGCTGTGTCCAGGTATAAGAGTCATCATTGTGCCTGTAATCTGGGCCCAGGTATATGTTCTAATTTCACCTGTGGGCAGGGACAAAACAGGAGAGTCACATCACCTTGGTGCTGGGCCCAGTGATATGTCACAATGCCCACTGTAGGCAGGGCACAGGCAGGAGAGTCACATCATCTGAGTTCTTGGTTTAGCAGTATGTCACAATTCCTTCTGTAAGTAGGGCCCAGGCAGCAAGAAGAGTCACATTACCTCGATGCTGAGCCTAGTGATATGTCACAATGCTCCCTGTTATCAGGGCTCAGGCAAGAGAGAAGAGTCATATCACACATCTGATTGGCACAGAGATTTGTCACAATCTTCACTGACAACAGGGCATAGGAAGAAAAGGAGGGTCACAATGACTAGGTGATAGGCCCAGCTGTATGTCACAATCTTTCTTGTAAGCAGAGCTCAGACAGGTTAGAAGAGCTACATGAGTAACCTATGGTATGGACCCGGTGTTATGTCACAATTCCTACTGGAACCAGGGCCTGGAGAAACAGAAGAGTCACAGCATCTCTGTGATGTTCTTAGAAATATGTCACAGTGACCCCTTTGGGTTGGCCCAGACAAGACATGAGAGTCACATCACCTAGGTAATAGACCCAGAGTTATGTCACAATTTTTCCTGAAGCCAGGACCAAGGCAGGAGTGTCCCATCCCTGAGGTTCTTGGCCTAGAAATATGTCACAATCCCTTCTAAATGCAGGTACAAGCAGCAAAGAAGAGTCACATAACCTAGACGCTGGGCCCAGCAATATGTCACAATTCTCAATGAAGGCCAGGATCAGGCAGGTAAGTAGAGTCACATCACTTAGGCAATAAGCCCAAAGATATTTCAAATGCATTATATTGGGAAGGTCCAGGCTGGAGAGTTACATCACATAAGTATTTGATTGAGGTATGTCACATTTGATCGAGGTATGCCTGGAAGGCAGCTGCCTCCACCTCCCCAAATTTAGAACCTCACCAGTGGGATCTGTTCATGTGTGTGGGTGACAATTCTGCCAGCTGGTTGTGCATATGCAAATAACAACCTCAGTTTCTTATGAAATTGGGCTGTGTTATGACACGCCCTGTTTCCCCCTAGGGCATTATATAGTATGCATAAGTGCTGCAGTTTTCTGTGACCTCTGTGCAAGTAAAAAACCCAGAACCACAACTATTGCCCTAAGCCTAACAGTGAAAGCCAACATCTTTTCTATTAGCTGGATTTCGTATAAGAGATAACACTGAGCTTGTGAGTTGAGTTGAAACCTGACTTACTTTTCAACCTGTGGCCAAATCCACATCTGACAGTCACAATTCCAACCATGGTATGCATTCGCATGTGAGATGTATAACCTCATCTGTGGGCTGTGTCTATGTTTGAAGGTAAAGGTGACAATCCCAATTGTTGGCTGGATTTACCTGTGAGAGTCACAATGTCCACTGTAGGCAGGGCCCAGGTAGGAAAGTCACATTATTTGGGTGCAGGGTCCAGTGATGTGTCACACTTCCTACTGGAAGCAAGGCCCTAGCAGAAGGGAAGAGTCACATAATCTAGGTGATGGGCTTAAAGATATATCACAATTTTTTCTGTGGGCAGGGCCCAGGTAGAAAAAGATGGTAATGTCACCTAGGTGATAGGCTCAGAGATATGTCAAAATTTTCTCTAGGAACAGGACCAAAATAGAAGAGTCACATTGCCAACTTTTATGGCCCAAATGTATGTCCCTGTCCCATTTTGAGCTTTACAAAAAAATAGTCAAATATCAGGAGCTGGGAAAAGATCTGTCACAATCACACCTGCAGTAATATCCAGAGATTAGATTTACAGTCCCACACTGGTCCCAACACCAGATAAGAGAGTGAACACGTGTGAGTTGAGTACAAGCATGCAAGTCAGAATCTCAACGGTGAATTGGACTCATGCATGAGAGCCCCAAGACCACCTGCAGACTCTTTCTTGGTAGGAGAGTAACAGCCTCACATGTGTGCTGAATATTTGTCTGATATCATCTTTTTTGTTGAGCAGATTCACATATAAGAAAAAAGGAAGGAAGGAAGGAAGGAAGGAAGGAAGGGAGGGAGGGAGGGAGGGAGGGAGGGAGGGAGGGAGGGAGGGAGGGAGGGAGGAAGCAAAGAAAGAAAGGAAAAACAGAGCTACTCTTTGGACTGCTTGGGTGCATATACTTCTTTCTTAATTTCATGCTGATAAAAAAAGAAGGATTATTCATGAGTTTTCCAGAAATGGGTAGGCAATTTTTGGGACTGTGGTTTTTCTCTGCCTTTTAGACTATATAAGGTAACTTCAGGACATTGTCCTGGCATTTGTAAACTGTCATGGTGCTCTGGGGAGTGTCTTTTTTCTTGCTTCTGCATTATAATTACCATATAATGTGCAGTGAAGATGACCAGAAGTCACTTTTATTGTCATCTTAGTTTTGAGGGATTTTGGACAGCCTCTTTACTACATTTTGTTTTATCAGCAGAGTCCTTATGCTCTGTATTGTGTAATATCGGTCCTGCCAACCTCTTATTTTTTCCTGTGATTGGGAATGCCTAACCTCCTGGGAATGCAACCCAGCAGGCCTCAGCCTTATTTTACCTCACCCGTATTCAAGATGGAGTTGCTCTGGTTTGGACATCTTTGTCAAAGTAGTTGCTTGAGAGTCTCTCTGACCCTATTCTGGCTCAAGAGACTGCCCTATTTTTTAATCACTCTTTGCTCAATTAAACACTGTTAAATTTAATTTGTCTAAGGTTTTCTAAAACTTTTTTTTCTTATTTTGAGACAGAGTCTTACTCTGCTACCCGGGCTGGAGTGCAGTAGCAAGATCTTGGCTCACTGCAACCTCCTCCTCCCAGGTTCAAGAGATTCTCCTGCTTCACAGACACCTGCCACCACACCCAGCTAGTTTGATTCTTGGCCTCCCAAGTGCTGGGGTTACAGGCATAAGCCATTGTGCCCAGCAGATTTTCTAGATTTTAACAGACTGCGTCAACAGTGGAATCTGAGATAGGGCCTCCAGTGACCACCACCAGGTGACTGAGCAATAACCTATTGTTTTCATGGCTCTTTTGCAGTACCTGGGAATTTTGGTAAGTTTCCTCTTGGATTCCCAAGTGTCACAAAATTTTGTTTTGAGCTCTCTGAGTTAGTGTAAGCAAGTTTCCAATTCAAACTTGATTTGAATGTTGGGACAAAACCTGGACTGGCTCCAGGATCAGATTGGATCTAATAATTAACTGATTGGAATCCAGTTAGAGGTCTCTCATTTTTTTAATCCAAAGTGTGTTTATTGAAACGGTTTTGCACCATCTTGATTCAGAGTGCTTTTAGTGCTCCTTCCCCCTGAAAGAACATCCTTCCGTAAGCCTTGTTTTTCCTCCTGTAGGCTGGTGGAGGACAGTGGAGCAGTCAACAAACAAAACTACTGTTTGTGCATGGCTAAAGACTGTGGTGATTTGATAGCAGCCTGGTCATTTCACGTTCATGAAGTAGGAATTGGGGCTCTGCACCAGGCATTTCTTTTTGTGTTTTCCCTTCTCCTCTTCTGGAGAAGGATGAAGGCATGTTCTCATGAGTAAGTCATCACTGCCAGAAAGGCCAGTTAGAAGTCTCTTATGTCTCACTGGGTCAGGCAGAAATCAGCTGTGATGTAACTATGCAATGGGTTCACCTTGTCCACTGACTACAGACAGCCAATTCATCGAGACAGGGAAATTACAATAGAGAAAGAGTAATTCATCCAGAGTCAGCTGTATGGGAGTCCAGAGTTTTATTATTACTCTAATCAATCTTCCCAGGCATTTGGGAATCTGAGTTCTTAAAGATAATTTGGTGCATAGGGGAAGGCCAGTGAGTGCTGAGCCGTTGGGTCAGAAATAAAATAATAGAAACTCAAAGCTGTTTCCTTGAACGGAGTCAGTTGCTGGGTGGGGGCCACAGATCAGTCGATCCAGTTTATCAATCTGGGTGATGCCAGCTGATCTATCAAGTTCAGAGTCTTAGAAATATTCCAAGCACTAATCTTAGATTTTACAACAGTGACGTTATCCCCAGGAGGAATTAGTGTAGGATCTGAATCTTGTAGCCTCCAGCTGCATGACTCCTAAACCATAATTTCTAATCTTGCGGCTAATTTGTTAGTCTTGCACAGGCAGTCTTGTCTCCGACAAAGAGGGAAGTTTGTGTTGGGAAAGGGCTGCTATTGTCTTCATTTTCAACTATGAACTATAAACTAAGTTTCTCCCACAGTTAGTTCAGCCTACACCCAGGAGTAAACAAGAACATCTTAAAAGGTAGAAGGAAGATGGAGTTGGTTACATTAGATTTATTTCCCCAACTCAAGTATAACTGTAATGGTGTGTGGGTAACCCTTCATAGGAAGGAGAACTAACCAAGGAAGGAGAACTAAGCAGAACCCTGGCACAATTAAGGCCTGAAGAATATCTCAGTTTATAGTGTCATTACTCAGTTATTTCCTTTTATATAATCCTTTATATAATCACATACAAGTTTATAGAATTAGGGCTTGAAGAATATCTCAGTTTATAGCATTACTGCTCAGTTATTTCCTTTTACATAATCCTTTATACAATCATATATTGGTTTACAGAATTAGGGCTTGAAGAATCCCTTTACATAATCCTCTATATATAATTATATAATAGTTCATAGTATGAGTGCCTAAAGAATATTTCCCTACATATATATATATAATTATATCTTAGTTCATAAGAGGAGGAATGCCTAGAGTAGACACAGTATAAAGCATGAATTAAGAAATAAGCAGCTTATAATGGGAGGAATGCCTAGAGCAGACACAGTGCAGAGCATGAATTAAGGAAAAAACAGTTATACCAGGACAAGAATCCATGGCCCAGGCAGCAGCGTTCAGTATCGTAAAGGTATCTGCTGCGTAGCAGGCTTGGGGCAAGAGCTACCCCTCCTGATAAAGGAGTTGTAGGACCTTGCTCCAGTTCTTGTGGAAGGCTGCCCAGACTGGCAATCGCACCTTGGTGACTGTGAACTTTATCAGCTCTTGCTACTGTGCTGCTCAAAAAGCATCTTCCTCTAGAACTCATTGGAAGCTGCCAGCAGGTGGCGGTAACCATGACAGCTCTGTCACTACAGTGTAACTTCAAGCATCATCCCCTCATAAATCTTAGAAGTAGTTTGCCCATAGATAGAGGTATTGCACACTGTACCCTCTTCACTGCGCACAGCCCATTTCCATGCCTCGGTGACCTAATGGGGGTGGACCCCCTTACTGCACACGGCCCTTGCCTTGATAGGAATGGGCCCCTTGCTGCACACTGTCCACCTCCTAGCTTAGGTGACCTAATGGGGGTGGACCCCTTGTTTTATTGCTCACGATCCTATCACTATCCTTAAAGATGATTTCACTCACTGACCTGCCCCCTAACTTATACACAATAAATACTCACTCATCTGGACATCCGAGGCCTCGCCTGACTCCGCTCATAGGTGGCGTGGCCCCTTGAGCCCAGCTGCGTTTTCCTTGTACTTCTGTGTCCTGTCTCTTTATTTCTCAGATCCTGTGCCTCAGCACAGCATAAGGGTTACCCCGCGTCCCTATGGGGCCATCAGTCCTCCAATGGTGGTTTCATAAACGGCAGTATTTGGAGGGATGTAAACACTGGCTTCTGAAAACGTGCAGGAATTTTTGTTTGTATTTTTTTTGTTTTTCCCTTCTTTGTTTCTTATTTTTGTTCTTTTAGGCAGAGAAACCTTATTGGCTAAGCTGATTAGAAAGATCTGAGTCAAAGCCAAGGTTCTAAAATTACCAATGCAAAAATCATATTAGTGAGAACAATTATAACAGGAAGCTGAGCTAACTCACCTCCATCTCAACTTTCCCTTAAGTATTCCTGGGCTATTGGGCCCAGCTAACTGGTGAAAACATTCAGGGTATCATTTAAATGATAATAGGCATTGGCCACAAATCCAACTTTTGTAAAGCTAATGGAAAGCCTTCAGGCTTGGTTGGGGAGAGGGAAGCTTGAGTCCTGCCAAAGTGCAGAACTGAAGGAAGCCAGCCATTATCCTGGAGGTTATAAAATTTGCAACATCTCCAATTGCTACTGCAACATTGTCACTGCTGTAGAACCTAGAATTGACCTTTTGAGATATTTCTACAAGTTTTACGCATGTCTTATCCCTATTTGAGATATTTCTACAAGTTTTATGCATGTCTTATCCCTATGGCTCCACCTGGACCTGATGCTTTCTCCTAGACTAACCAACCCAGCTCCTGTGGCCCCACACACAAGCTCTTCAACCTACAGAAAGGCAGCTTTGACTCCTTGTAATTTTTTTTTAACCTCCTATAATTTTATCTCCACTCCAACTAAAGAGCAGCCAGCTCCTGTTACCTGACCAACTCACTCCTTATCAAAACTGCCTTTGAAAGGCCCCTCATGGCCAGGCTCAGGCCTCTAATTCCAACATTTTGGGAGGCCAAGGTAGGTCAATCCCCTGAGGTCAGGAGTTGGAGAACAGCCTGGTCAACATGTGAAACTCTGTGTCTACGCAAAATAAAAAATCGGCCGGGCATGGTGGTAGGCACCTGTAATCCCAGCTACTCAGAAGGCTAAGGCAGGAAAATCACTTTAACCCAGGAGGTGAAGGTTCCAGTGAGCCGAGATCGCACCATTGCATTTCAGACTGGGAGTTATGAATGAAACTTTGTCTCCAGAGAGAGAGAGAGAGAGAGAGAGAGAGAGAGAGAGAGAGAGAGAGAGAGAGAGAGAGAGAGAAAGTGCAACAACCATCTCAACTCACTGCAACCCCACCTCCTGGGCTAAAGAGATTCTCCTGCCTTAGCCTTTCATTTAGCTGGGATATAGGCAACAAAAACCACACCCATTTGATTTTTGTATTTTTAGTAGAGATGGGGTTTCCTCATGTGGGCCCAGCTGGTCTCGAACTCCTGACCTCAGGTGATCCACCCCCAAAGTTCTGGGATTACAGGTGTGAGACACCGCGCCCAGCCTCGATGAGATGATTTAAGTACAAAGT